TCAATATTTATTTAAATTCTTAATTAACCAACAGTTTAACTTTGCGCTCCAAACTCTATGTTGTGTTATCTTAAAATTGAAATATTAAAAAACTTTCACTATAACGTTGCTATTGTTTCATTCTATTGTTTCTGCTCTTGTTGTTTTTCTATTTCTTTTTCAATTATTTGCAAATAATTTTATGCAATTATTTTACGTAAAAGAAAAGTTTTGTTAAAAAAAAAAAAAGGAGGAGAACAACAACAACAACAACGGCAACAAAATAAAATGTGGAGAAAAGCAAAAAAAAAAAAAAAAAAAAAAAAAAAAAAAAAAAATGAAAACAAAAGGAAAACAATTCATTTTATTACTTTCAGCAAAATAATTCAAATGAAAATCCATGAATCCCTCAGGTAATTAAGTGAACACGGAATAAGAAGATAATCTAGCAAAACACAATACAAGAATATCCCGTTGACCATAAGGAGAATTTTGGATACCCATCCAATAATTAAAGGAAAAACATGAAATATTTATTACTCTACCTACCGTGTAACGAAAGCGCTTTCTCTTCGCCTCGAACGTATATGAAGCTAACATAGTTTTAAATATTTGAAATGACGACACGTGTCATCATTATGTTTGAAATTGGTATAGAAAAGCTTTGCTAAGTAAGTAATTTGTCAATAAACATAACCGAATTCTCTTCATTTCAAATTTTTTCAATAATCTTGATCAAGTTTATAAGTTTATATTTTAATTCAATATTTGTTACATTTTCTAAGCATAGGTTTGAAAACCTTGCTCCTTGATTTGCAAAAGGTAAGAAAGTAAGTAAGAAAGTAAAGCAAATGCACAAACAATAAATAGTTTAGCCCTTAGAAGAATCACTGCTTTTCAATATTCAAGGTTAATTTCTCTCACGGCTTCCAGGACATCCAAGTAACAGAAAGACAGGGCTAGGAATGGCTGTATAGACGTGAGAACTTTACTGAAAGAACTAAGAGTTCCGAGGTAATTAACTGATTTTTCAATGAAAACGAGCTACTTTGATATGTACCTCCCTTGGAGAAGGAGAAGAAATAAGGAAACTAAATAGAAAGAAGCGAAAATAAGAATGAATTGCCAACATCTAGAAATATACAGCGCAGATCTGATAGAAGGTGTATTATATATTGTAAGCGGATATAATCATACCTCAAAAATTAGAAGGCAATCCTGAAGTGAAGTGTTTTTACTTACTGTCTATTGGGAGGCGTTTTAAAAGTCACCTTAATCTAAGTCTATATACCTAACGTAGCCATAACGATACAGTAAAACTGTATTGTGTAGAAGATCTAAAAGTCGTTTGGAGCTACAGCGACAAATCGACTACTATCGGCTAGTTTTTACAATCATAACGAACAATGGACCAGTGTCATTGCTAAAGTAATGATAACGTAATACTTGGGCGGAAAAGTGTTCACTGATCTGGTCTTCGGATTTGCAATCGAAGACTTTGTAATTTTTTATAAACAATTCTACGCTAGAAATCTCTTTTACATCTTAATATCATAATAAGGGCAACTTTACGCAAAGAGAGCACCAAAGGTAGCAGTTATCATTGAGAGATATCCATCAGATTCACTTATGACTTTCTCTACAATCGAAACCATAAAAATTAGTAATAAATGCATTAAAGTGTTGTGCAAAAACTCCGAAGCGTTATGCGCACAATAAACTGCTTTTGTCCAAGAGACAGCGGACGTATGTACGATCTCTACGCTTCTTTGGCTCTCATCAAAAATTTGACTGTAACCAACCATTGCATAATTATGAAGGCATTATGCATATATTTAGGGCAGGATTCAGAAATTTAGATTTTTAACACTTAAGTTATTAAGTAAGAGTATTTTAATATACTTTACCGTTTATAGTAATAAAAACAATAATAACAATTTCATCAGCAGCAACAACAAAAACAAAATAAAAATAATAAAAAAATAATAAAAAAAAATAGTAACATCTCCTTTATGCTTTAACGTACTACACGCACACACAAACACACGAACTACAGTGTGTAGCATCGAAACAAAAATAAAAGACAAAAATACATAAAATTTATAAAATTAAATACAACTACATTTACATTAAGCATATACACCTTTGCACCATTTTGCATTTGCAAAACGCAAATAAAAGAAAGAGAAAGAAAATGCAAAAAAAAAAACAATGAACTTAAGAAATCAGTCTTCACTTGCTCGCTGCCTTATTAAAGCAGAATGAAAGTGTAATTGAACAAGTGGATGGCTGTTAAGAAAAGTGCGAGAAAAACTGTAAGAGATAAATCCGGTATAAATATTTATTTAATTGTGTTTGTAATTGAAAAACTTTAAATACATTTTATAAATGATTTAAGTGCTACTACAGTAACAGCAAAAAAGACAAGTATGCGCGATTGTATTTGTGTACACATGCATACAAGAATAGTTAATAGAGAAAAGTTGACTTTTATGATTAAAATTAAAGATTTTAATAGAGGAAATGCCAATAAAAACATTTATAAGAGGAGTTCGTTCGGTATGGATAAAGAATTCTTTCTTCCTCTCTTTGCAAGAAAATATCGAGTACTTTACTAGATTAACAATATCTCATTAAAAATTCATTGGAAGAAATTCTCCTTCTCGGTTTTTTTTTTTAGAGCACACGGTTATGCTTAAGCTTTTTTATGCAAAATGCTATAATAATCATGGATATCGTGGACAGTTTGATTTTTTTGAAATTAGTTATTATAAGTTTTACGACAGCAAACGATAAGCGCAACTACATTGCAATTAACGTTAGTTGCCCTTTAATACTAGGACTACCGACTACGTCATTTGCCGCTACATTTTGTCATTTTGTCATCAGAGACCCCACAAGGTATATATATTTTTGATCAGCATCAAATCCTAAATCGATTTAAGCATGTCTGTTGTAAACATCCTCCTGGCCGCAAAAATGACGATATGAACTTAAATTTTTGCAAGAACAGTAGAAGTGCTTGCACGCACAAGTTGTTATTGAAAATGGGACAAATCGATCAAAGGACACACCCACAGCACTAAGTAATATGAGAGGATCTTTGTTTTCCATAACGGAATGAAAAATTGGTTTTTTGCTCACTACCTGTCAATTATTACCTGTCAATTATTATTTTATTACTATTACTTCATATATTGTCTAATTTCGTACCCATTTCAGTGATTAGTTTTGGAGTCTGCCATTGTCGACAAGATGTTTAAAAGAGAAATTAATTGCTTAGGGACCAGAATCAACTTGTGCTTTTATAGCTTAGTCGCGTGAAAATTTGTTATACTTTCTTCACTCCAATTATTTGAATTTGCGGAAAAGATTACAGCAACACCTTTCAAGCTACTCTAAAAAAATTAATTGCAAAAACTTTAATTGTTTTAAAGTAATTTCAAAAACATTATTAAAAAAAGAACAACTGTTCAAAATACCGGGAATATATTATTTGCACGTTAATATTACTTCAATTGCTTTCTAAAAACTGGTCGCTTATAAATGTAAGTAAATTAAAGTAAATCGAACTAAATGTGAAATTTTCTTTTAATATTTATGCAACGTTATTTGGATCCGCAAGCAATAGAAAATTTTATATTACTGTTCAGCATTGTTAATTAATCTTTTGTTGGTGCTTTATTTTTTAGGGAAACCAAATTAATAATTTTTAAAAAAGTCAAATTATTGATCGCCTAAAAAAAAAACTATTTTAAATGTTTATTAATGAACCTGAATTTATGCATTGTTATCTTTGAGTATTGGCTGATCAGTTCGGCGATAGAGTGATTACATATAATACTATTGGTCTTGTTTAAAATCTTACCTTAAATGCTTTTACTTTATTTGTGACGCGTAAATGAGTACTATTAAGATGGTTGTAAAAAAGTTCACATTATAAGTTGTTTTCGTTGTTGTCAGTTGCAAGTGACAACAACTCAGACGATGAATGAAGATGACAATTAATTATCAATATATAGAGAAACCCCCGTACACGTTTAAACAAAATACGTGTAATGTTATTAACGCGCTCCGAAAACGATTAATTTCGATTTAGTACCGAATAGATTTAATGAAATAATAAACGAGTTGAAAGATTTCTAATTTTTTTTTCGCGGCATTTTGCTACTAGAAGAGAATGTTTCGTTATATTTACACTGCGGCTGGATATGCAAACATAGACGACATTTTTCGTAGCTTAAGATAAATCGTGCACAAAAACTTGGTCTCTTTAGGTTAGTTTATAGTTCCAAATGCTTCACGCAGAGTTCGATTAAAGATCTTTACGGGCATAATTTTCAAACACTTGTAAAAGGAAAACTTTTTCACGATATTTTATCCTTCGTAGGTATTGAATATCGATGCTAATTACACAAGTCATATGGCTATCTTCTTTTCTCTCCCTTGGCTTTATATTTCCCATACGATTGCATTTTAAAAACAATTGTCTTTCTCTCTCTCTCTCTCTCTCTCCCTCTCTTATTTTTATAGAAACAAAGTCTATTTGTCAATTTGGCCAATTATTGACCAATGCGTTAGAATAAATATCATAAAATTACTCTTATGAACTATTAGTAAGAGTGGACCCATTGCTATACCAACCGTATCTTCTACATGGTCTCAAGCGACTACTATTTGTTTGCAAATTAAAAGGGAATGCATCAGGAACAAATTATGAGGTCAGTGCGAGAACAGAAATATATTTTGACATTATTGACAGATATGTCATTTTTCTTTATAATTTGTCATTTATTTTTACTTTTCATGTGAAATGAACAATGAAGTGAGTTGTGCGGAAATATTGTAAAACCTATAAAATTATATTTTTTTAATAAATTTTTAATAAATTAACGATCGGAAAATTTTGAAAAGGAACGAAAATAAAAACAACGACGATATAAAAAGCTTGCCACTGCTTATATCCTATAACTACAGAGAGAATTGTTCAAAATCCCTACGCAGAAAATAAGCGCGAACATTTACACATCCTTATCATCAAATTCATTCGTACTACGGTGCTCATGTATCGATGTTACTCTATACATATAGGAGGGTATTGTACGCGACGAGTATCCATTATCATTTATAGTGAAGGAGGAACTACCTGGTGTGATATTGTGGGAAGTTATTGGACATTGTTGCGATCTTAAATTTGGTATGAGCAGTTGTTGTCTCATTAACGAACGTCGTGAGGTAGATGGTTCATTGCCAAATCACTAGGCGTACGATTATTCATTGAAGCACGTAGACTTCGAAACTTATAGTCCCCACTAGCATGACTATATTCCTCTTCTTCGCTTAATATGTCTTCTGGCTTAATATGTATGTATTGCTCTTACACAGATTTTCCTCATTCTCGCTTTCGCCCGTACTAATATCACTATTTTCGTCATCAGCAGCGGAATATTTTAAAGATTCGAAACGTAAAACTTCTTCATGTTCTAAATTTGTGGCTCGCTCAACAAAAGCCGGAAAACGCCAAGGAACGCGTAATTTAGTCATCATCGTCCACTGTTTGCAATCGGGTCTAGCCGCATATTTCCGGAGATCTTCCAAAGCTTTCTTTGTCTCAAAATACACCCTGCTCATAAAATTCATCAAGTGTTAGTAAACGAATTTTAGGTGGAAATTTTCTTAACCGGTAAGAGCGGCATTTATACCAAAGTGATTTTGGAAAGCACTTTGACGCGACTACTGTTATAATAATTGCAGATGTTGCTTCTTCGTAAAAGCTTGAAAAGTAAATCATAGTGAGAGACGCCAACTGTAATAGCCATTTTGTGATGTTCTTAGAACGTTGGTTAATTGGCGGAGCCCAACGATAACAAACAATGAATGATATTGAACCAGTTATCATTATGTACCAGAAAACATAGATTCTGTATGTGACGATAATAACTGGCATATGCATCCATAGTAGCTGTATCATCCACAAGCCTACGGTCCAACCGCCTATTAAAAATACCATACATGGCAGGGCGTCTTGGTACTAATTTGCTACTCGTCAACCATATGAGGAGCATAAACAATGAGCATATACCCAAAACAATTCCCGTCACATAATAAAATATTGCATTTTGGCTTAAATTGCTGGCATATTGAAACACCAAGTAGCCTAACAATAGCTGTATAACTCGGTAAAAATCTATACGCAATATTTTCAGCTCTAAAGTGTAGGGATTCTGAGACGCCATACCTAAACAATTGGAGAAGACAAACGATGACAAATGCAAACGTACACGTTTTTGAGAGAATAAAGTCAAGCTAAATAATGATTGTTCTTGATTGTAATGCTGTCGGACTTCGTCCGGTGTGGCGCCATCATACTGTTTATAATTGTCACCTTCAATATTTAGCCGCAACTTAACAGTTTCAAATAAACTGCTTATAGTTTTATCTTTGGCACGATAACAAAACGTATACAAATTATCTTTCGTAAATGGACCAAAGTTTCTCTTCGGCTTATATGTATATAATTTCCCAAGATCCACATAATTGACTAAAATTATTTATATGAGCTATTAATATGAATTTATCATAATATAATCAATTTACCTTTATCGGCAATTATGGATTCCGGAGTTTGCGAAAGCACCGCAACCGTGAAAAAAGTTAATATCACTAAAATAAATAAAGCCATTTTATTTCCTTTTTAATCTTTTATCTATTTGTTTCGGTATAAAGTGCACTAAATAAGCTTGCGAAATAAAACTTCGTCTCCACGAATGGAATCTTAAAATACATTTACCGGTTTACTGACTTTGTTTGTCAAAATTTTTTCCATTTTCCCGGTTCCCAAGACAAAAAATTTATGTAGTTTGTAAAAAAACAAAAGTTTTTGAAATAAATAAATAACTGAACACATGTTTACATTATATATATATATATATATATATATATATATATTAATATTTAGATTAAAACAGAGGATTCTTTTGATAATTATAGATTTTATTTCACTTTATTGAGCTAACACTTTTATTACACTGAATAGAAATAAGAGAGTGAGTGAAGTGAGCTGTAGTTTTTTTTATTTTTATTTTTTTTTTGCTACTTTAGCTATGTCTGTATTTTAGTATTGCTTGTGATTGCTTAACGTTAAATGCTATCTATCTCATATGTAATATGAAGTTAATAAGATTGAAAATATTCATAAAATTTTGAGAGCATTCTACGGTTGTTTATCCAAAAAAGAATATGTGATTTTATGATAATGATAGGAATGATTAGCAAGATTTCTAGTTTATTACTCTATAGCAAGTTGGTTGCTTTTTGAAATATTATGTTTTTTTTGCGAAGGAACCGTGTTGTTCAGCTCTACTAGCATTAGTTGCTTTTAAACCGGAATTTAGTTAAAGTGCTTGTTCAGAAACTTGAAAAAATTCCGGATACATTTAATTTAAACATATTCTAGGATCATGTTATGTTATGCATAATCGGAAGAACAGGTTAAATATGCTAAAGGGTAGCTTAAGTTATCCATGCAAACAGTGCGTTACAAGATACGTTCAAGAGATAAATGACAAGGGGAACTGAATCATTTAGTGATCTTAAACTGTGACCATAAAACTTCGTAGTAGTTCATTAGAGTATCCGTAATAAGGAATTAGAAAAATTAAAAATCTTTTATTTTTAAGAAAGATTTCCGTGCAAAATTTAACTGATTTAAGAATCAAAGCCTATTAATCGCATAAAACAATTCAAGGAATTATGGCACAACAACAAGTGAATTCTGATTAAGAGTACATATGTGCCAGCGATTACAATTTGATATATTTTCCACCTAAGCTTCTTCTTGCGTGAATTTTGGAATTCCCTCCATATAATATTATTAGATTGGCGTAAATGTAGCTCAAGGACAGCTCGAATTCGAAGTAAACTAAATGAAACCTATTGATAAAAAGAAGATGATTTAAATCTGGGTGATCGAAGACATTATGGCCACTGTATAATAGTCAAGCTATAAAGTAATGAAAATGCGAGAATTAATAAATGGGCACGGGCGACAAGGAAAGACGACGTTCATCGATCATGTCATTAATTAACGCCATCGTGATCACAGCCACGACAAAGGTCCATTCCAAAGATTGATTTTAAGCGCACAGAAAGAAGACTTTAAGCGCGCGAAAGCATTCTGCAAGCGGTTCAACTACGAGCAGCAGCTATTCTATGAGAGGCAATTACCTCTGGGATACCTGACATCTATAATTATCACCTAGTTTGAACTATAATTATTTGAGGATAATTTGGCATTCCGCATCAATCATTTTTACCTTAGGACTGTCCAAACTTCATCGAACATCATCTCATATATGACAAGTTTAGTAAACAGTTCTATATCGTTTTATCTTCTGCGTGTATATGGTTCTGGTTACCCAGATAAATTTCCACAATTATGTATGCTTGTGTAGGTGTTGGGCATACAATTCATTCTTGGTATATGTTTTGCAAAATGCGATCAAATATGCTCTTTTTGTGCTATTACCCAGAATGAATTAAAGTGTTAATACAACGTGACACATTAGCGTTCTAGTGGCAACTAATGTGAGAATTAAATTCTGATGCAGAGAAATGATAATTTAACCACGTATTTCATTCAAAGGGGTATGGCTGTATAGCATATAACGTGTCATATGCATATTGATTGCTTCTATATCCATACCATAGTAATAGGGCACGCGCCACAAAATTCTAAAATGCATTTGCATGGGAAATGCATGGAAAATGAGTTATTAAGCACGATGTCGATTGTTTATATTGAAATTTCATTCTCGAGAGTACCGTAATTTGAAGCCGTTATATATGTATACATATACATATATATATATATGTATGTGCGTAAATGTTACTCACAACATCTAGATAACACAAAATCAATTTGTTTTTTTTTTTTTTTTTACTTCTCTCTGTATTTTTAAATTCCTCTAATTATTTTGGAATGTAACCACAATGTTATTCGATACGAAAATCCGTTAGTCTCAAATTATTTAAATTATATTAAGTATGAATTTATATGTAGATGTTGCGTAAATTGGAGAAATTTTAGGTAAATATTATGTAAACACACGCAAACATAAAGTTAAGATTAAAACAATTGCAATTTAATTTTAGTTTAAGAAAGAAACATGACGATGCGCTATTCCATATGTTTACTTAAAAATTAGAATGCAAGGGCAAGGGCAAGGGCAAGGGCAAGGGCAAGGGCTTCCAAATGTTTAGTTAAAAATTAGAATGCAAACAAATCGAGACCATGAAAAGAACTTGAAAGGTGTTTGGGGGGATATGTTTTTAGTTAACTCGTTCGTCATTAACACAGTGCTGTGTTGATGTCACATATGTTACATCTTTGTGTTAGTTCTTGGGCTTTTTCCCTGGAGACTTCGGTAACGAGCGGATTAATAGAAATTGCAAACCGTTTGCAACGGCTTTGCTTAAGAAAATAAATATTTGAAATTCTTTTCAAACGGCGTGCACAGCGTTTCCTTGTTAGGTTCTTGTTTAAAAGCAAATCTTTTCTAAAATCTAAAATCTTTTAAAGAAGTTATTCTCTGCACTTAGCTGTGAAAGTTGATTTTTATGAAAAAGTTACATACGTTTTATCGCAAACTGTACAATGTATTTAATGTATATTGAGGAAATTTATATCCCATTACACTAAATAGATATTTTATTGAAATTTACGTTTAATGAAGTGTTTTGTTTCTCGCTCAATGACTATTCAAGTGAAATACATTTTAACCCATAGTTACGAGGACTGATAATTAAGTTTATACCGCGCCCGGTTATGTTGACATTATTCGATTAAAATATTTTCCGAATTTTCTTTCATGAAATTATAATATTTGCATGCAGTCACTACGGTTGCGAGAAGATAAGAACTCATTGAACCGAATGAACATTTTAGATTAAGAATATGAGATTTTTAAAAAGTGGGCGCAAACATTTCCGCGAGTTGAAGGGACTTGCTCGTCTTCTACAAAGGAGCAATTTTCATGAAAACTCTTATTAGGATAGAATCCTAATAATAGGTTGAAATGGTCCGAATTTGGTACAGTTAATTTATATATATATATATGATATAATTTTCAGTACGAAGGGTTGAATATTATACTTTTTCGTCGTATGAACTTCGGTTTTCGTTCTATGAGAGGGGGTTCAAAAATTGCCACAGCCGGTCCAAAATTTTCATAACAATTTAGAATGCTGTTAGAAATACTGTTACTTGGTCACTTTTGTCGGGAAATTTTGAAAATTGCAAATTTTTTCTATATAATGACATTTCAGAACAGGGCGAAAAAGTGGACCGATCCGAACCATTGTCAATAGCATTCGTCCTTGGATCAAAACATGTCACTGCCACAAATTTCTTCAAAATGTCTCAAAAACCCCGCGGCTTGAATGCAAATTTAAATGGACAAATAATAGACGGACAGACAGACTTATATCAATTCAGATTATGATTCTGAATCGATCGGTACAATAAAAGGTGGGTCTATCTTAAAGCCATTCTGCGTGCTACGTGCGTCTGCACTAGCTTAATATACCCTACAGCATTAGTTGTTACTTTGAAATCGAATGATAATTAATGTTTATAATGCTATATAAATCCGATCTATTTTAAATGCAATTGTGCTATAAGTTTCGTAAGTAAAATTTTTCAGAGATATTTCTTACAGAAGTGAGTAAATTTGTAACAAATTTTTCACATTTAAATGATCAGACAGAGTGCATCTCGTGACAGACAGAGTGCATCTCGTGACAGACAGGATGTATCTCGTGTCTTTGGTAGAAAGAGAGGTGAAACAGTCGGAATGACTTCTCAACTATGCCATTTAAAATGGCTCCCGACTGCTAATTGATAACGTAAAGATATCTTACGACTTAAATTATCTGATAAATTTATTTAATTATAATTGTAATTATTATAATGTATGAATAACTGTGTTTAATATAAAATCAATAAAGTCATCAAGAGAGAGATATCTACTTACCAATATTCAATCAAAAAGTCAGTTGTTTTTTTTCTCCTTGTTTATGCAAGCATTTAATCGTTGGACCTCGTATGTGCAAAGAAAGATCTAAAAAGAAGAAGAATAACATTTTTTCACTTACAAATGAAATTTATTAACTTTGCTTTGGTGTTTATATGCTATGCATTTGCTATAAATAACGTTGATTAGAACATTTTATATTTAATTAGGAAAAATTATGAAATTATGATATTATCAAATTTTGTTATTAATTAATACTTGGAAAACAATTTTCAGATACTTATACATTTTCTCAAAGTAAATTATATGTAAATTATTTCAAATATAATTGATCCATTGACCATTCTAAGAAAATGTGTGCAAATCCTTTAATATAATGATATAAGATGGCATGAAAGCACATTTACACACATATTCAGTCTATTGGCAATTATAGTTGCATTTAATTGTATGTGCATGTCTGTCTATTTGAAAGTTTTAATTTGAGTTTTAATAAATTTTATAAAATATACGATAAAGTGTAACAGTAATTAGTATAATTAAAATTTGGAAAATAGTTTTAATAAATATTTTATTAAATTATATAGAGAAAATATTTTTAAAATGAAAATTTTTTTTTTTTTTTTTTTTTCCTTTTTTTCATCTGCCGTGATTATAACATACTAAAAATTGTAACATTTTTCAATATAAAGATATACATTGCTTGGCAAGCTTCTTGGCAGAAGAGTCCCCAGTAACATAGTAAGCTTTTATCGTAAATGACTTGATTAAAAAATATATATAGAAATTAGATTTTTGTCTTCATATATTTATTCTATAAGAGGAACTTTGAAAAAATCGTTCCATCTTAAAATGGTCTGAGAAATATACCTTTATAGTCTAAGCCAAATCTAATAAATTTGTAACTAAAGTGACAGTTTCGCATATCAATTCTATTTATAAAGCACAAAAACTAGACCCTTTTTACCACATAAAGGCTTCTTTTCCATAAAAGTGGTTTTGTGGAAAAGGGTTGAGAAGCTCATTCCCTTCTATTAGAAATTGCGTAATCTTATCAATGGAAAATATTTTTCATATAGAGACTCTTGCAAAACAAGTCTTTTTTTATATGGATAGTGATCACAAAAATGTTCCGATTCAGTCCATATTCAATAGCTTTGGCAGTTGGGCTGCAAGTTGTGAACGCACATACCCGTAAATACGCTTCAGCCGAGTGGGCGAACATCAGAAGAAGGACGCACATCGATGGTTAAATCGAAGTGCAATAGACCTTTGCCATCAGTTCTTGAATTAATTCCTTATTATACATTCATGCAAGTGTAAGTACAATCGGTATATTCCGCATCGCACGTCCGCTCACTCTTTATACCGTTGTCGTCAATTTGGCGAATGTTTATGAAACATTGTGCTGTGTTTTTCGAAAATTCACTTTATTTCAGAATAAGTTTGTAATGTTTTTCAAAAGGGATCATATGATTTCGTTTTAATAATTTTAAATAAAAAAATATGTTTTGCCTTTGTTAGATATGTTCAGTTACGTTTCCAATTTTATCGTGGAAATTAATTGGAATTTTTATAGAACAAATTATATTACAAGCCTTTGTGCGCTCCAGTTAAGCAAATCATTTTCCCAGAACAGGCTCGTTTTTTTTTTTTTTTTCAATGTTTCAAGGAATAAACAAAGTTCTAAATTTTAAGGTAAAGTTAATTAAACCGCAAATTATTCACGAGATGCATTTATTTTCTGCAAAAGTAAAAGTTTAGTGTAGGATTTTTGAAGGAGCAACAGCATCGGTCCCTATGAACTCGAAAATGAGAATGCTGATCTGGCTATAGATCGGCACGTTATTCGAACAAGACGAGAACACGCAGCACGTGTACAGACATCAAAGGATTAGTTTTTTATGCAATAAGTTTAGTGATGCAATAATTTCAAGAAATTTCGATATCGAATGGCTTGCACAAAGGCCTAATTTAAATAGTCCCGCCTTGGTATTTTTAAGTCTATTTAAAATCGTTGACTTCTAGGATTAGAAAAGCGAAATGAAACGTGCTATTAATGAAATTATGCAAGATTTACTCAAAAAAGTGCCTAAAAATCGAATTCTTGCCAGTAGAAGGTCTTGTGGTATTTGCAGAAAGAAAAATTTTGCTTTTATTCAATTTTTTCAAGGCTTTTTGTTCTATTTCTAGAGGAAGCTTCTCATGTTTATCGACAAAACTTTTTATGAGAGATAAATGGACTCATGAGTGGCTTATCTTCTATTCGATCTCTCCAATAAATGCTTTCAAAAAAGAAGAGGAAAAACTTGTTTTGTCTTCGCCTATGCCTATGACGTATGTTCTTTAAGGATTGCCCCTAATGAAAGACAATATATCAGACATGGTAATAATTGTAAAACTTTTCAAAAATTTTTTGTTTAAATTGATTTGTTTAAAATTGCTTGTATAAGAATAATTTCATTATTTTATTGTATCTATGTATTTCGATGTATATCGGTGTGTTTGTTACGATCTCAATCAAACATATTATATGAATAGCGAATGTATGAAATTAGGTTTGGTCGTAATTAACGCTACGATAAGACGTTTTTATGTTCACTTCGCAAACTATATATATATCGTACATAATTACATCGTTCGTAACAAAACGAAATTTAAATTTATTTCAAATTAATTGTTTATTTTAATTTTATGAAAAACTTTCCAAAAAAAAAAAACAGGAAACGAATATAAGTGCTCCTGTTCACAGCACATGTTTTGAAGTAGAAAATGTAACCTCTGTGCGTACAGTAAAGTGCATGGATTTACCTGCAACATATCTAATACAATTGTAACCGACACTCACTTTAATTGCTTGTCTCTTTGTGCTGTTCTTATACAGCTTATTTTCCAAGAGTTTAAATAGATCCATCACTTCCTATGCGTGCAAAAGCACATCTTTATGTTTGATATGTCTGTCAGAAATATTTTATGCACATAAACACACAGACACACACACACACGCACACACACACACGCGCACACAAAAAAAAAAAGGAAAAAAGAAAGAACAGGTATAGGTGTGTGGTTGTGTGTGAGTTATACCTGTCATTTACAGTTAGAATTGAGTTCACTTTTCATTAAAACAGAAATTTTCAAACAATACGTTAGTAGCCAAGCCAGGGATGATGATTATGGTATATTACTTATATCTAAGTAGATGGCGGGATCCTCTCGTTTACAAACGATTCATTTAAAGATAATGTAAAGATTTTTATGTAAGTTGTAATTAGTTATTACTTTATAAAGAGTGAGAATTTTTCTGCAAAGCTACTGCTACTACTCAGACAGACAATCAGTAGCTAAAAAGTAAAAATAACCCAAGAGATGACGGCCATTGTTAAAAACGTATGCTTTCTTTCAAAGTGTGTCTTCTCTGGCGCACCTTTTCATTAGTTCATGAATTGATTTTTCTATAAAAAAAAAAAAAACAAAACACTTCCCTTGTTATGGCACGTCCATTATGATATTCATACTTAAGAGTATGATAGGTCTTCTTCATTTTCGTCTTCTTTATCACGGCATTGTCCTACTGTACATTGGAACTAATTTAAAAAAAAAGGTCGTATTTATTATTCGCTAGTTGACTAACATCACATTCTCTTGCATTACTTTCCCCATAAATTCAATGAATTGAAATCGTACATGAGCGACCCCGAGACGCAGTACGCACTGCTTAAATGCTTATAATATATTATTTTTCTACTCTTTCTTCTTCTTGTCTACAGACGGATATGCGGGAAGAAAAGCGAAATGAAGCTATGCTTTTCATAAATTAGTTCTACTTTTCTTGTGTCTCAACTTATTTTTCCCCAATAAGAAGGCTGCCTGCGGTTCAACACGATCGATCCTTTCCTTTTTTTTTTTTACTTAGATACTCATTGTGGTCATTTTTTGGTTCAAAGCAGGTGTTTACATTTGTAAGCTTCTTTACAAGCGCCCAGTTAGCATAAAAAAGTTTCTTCGGTAAAATCGTTCGCATCTTACTTAACATCACTCGCTCAATTTCCAAAAATCGAACATAGTTTCCAATACAACGGTTAGAGAGTAACAAAAAATTTGAAAAGAAATCAATAATAAAACCGAAGACGATTAAAGATTTTGCGAGTCTCCGAGCGTATTTTACAATTTATGGCATTTCAGAATGGAAAGACTTTTAGAGATCAATAATAGTACATTATGAGAAAGTCAAGACAAATGCTTATTATATGCCGTTACATAAAGCTCGGTATTAAGCATAGCGTCGAACTATTAAATAGGATGCCGTAGCTACATCTTGCACTTATATGCAATTGTGATAAATCATGTTAAATAAAAGAATTAAAAGCCCTTCCTTCCTTTGTTTTTAATTTTCAAAAAAATTCTTTTGTGTAATTTCTACGTACGTTTTTAAGCTTTGCTAGTAGCTCCTAACTAATAATTTCATTAATCATCTCTGATAAATACATCATACATATATCAATATACAAATTCATATATATATATATATATATGTGTGTGTATGTTTATACACAAATGTTATAGAAATGTTTCAAATCGATTGTTGTTGTGTTTATAACAAATCGACAGATCCAGCAAAAAGGAGAAGAGAAAAAGAAAACGAACAAAACCAGTAGCAAAAACATAAGGAAAATGTAGGCAGCTTTCAATTAAAAATTACGAAAAATGTTAAACATTTATGCTCTGCAAGAGTATAACATTTTGTGTCATATTTTTTTGACGCTTTTCTAATTGAATTCATATCAGCTTTTCAAAGAAATGCAATTGGGGATATGATTTTTCGGAAGAACGGTTGTTATTAGTGCAGATATGGGGGGGAGAGGCCCAAAAAAAAAAAAAGGAAAATATTTTTAATTAAAAATTGATATGTATGTGAGTGACATTTTTACTACTGCTGGGAGTGTACCTATCATGCAATGCCAATAACATGCACTGTTAGTTGAGCACATTCGCAGTTTTAGAAAAACGCTGATTATGCATTGGCTACAGAAGATTTCATTAAAATGAATTCATCCAAATCTTCGCGTATAATGATAAAAGTTAAT